TGTTATGGAAGCTTTTCCCACCATCGCAGCGTTCGGGTAGATCCTCCTAAGTCTGTGAGGGTCGTACTCCTGTTGCCTCTTTCCCTTCACTGGAATTACTGAAAAGTTGTCTTTCCTCTGCTTGCTTCTGTTCACAAAACTCCTAAAACCTTAATATCTTTGAGGCCTTTAAACATGTGTAATATTTAGTTGAAATTGGAAAATGTGCTCAAAAGGGACACTGACATTATGTATTCCTGTTCCCTTGGATAGCCAAGCTAAAGACATTTTTATTGTTGGTAGGAGGGAATTATTGCCCTCTCTTCAACTTTTTCTAACAAAAAATCCCCAAATATCCCACAGACTTTTTGCTCTTAAAAGAAATTCATTTTAACTTTAAAAAAAAACCCACCCTAAAAACAAACAAAAAAACCACGGCCACAACCACTCCCCTGGAAACCCCAAGCTGCGAATGAAACGTTTCATCCCCTGGTGTAAAGGGTGGGGCTGATTCCAGGCAAATCCTGAAGCCAGCAGTTGCAAAGCTGGCATCTCCCCTTCCCTGTCTTCCTTTAGCTCCAAGCCGTTCAGAGGTCCTCAGACCCATAGATCAGGGCTGGAGCCGCAGAGATGTCAGGAAACTGTGTCTCTCCCTTTCAGGACTGGGGCTAGCACACAGGCATCCTGGCACTGAATTTGGGTGGCGGTGGGGAGACCATTATAAATCCCCAACAGTCTCCTCCGAGGATATAAATGTTTGCCTCCGCTAAAACATAATCTCGTGGTCGTTTCAATGACAGCTTAAATCGAACCCGTAGAGACGGTGCACGGAGGGGTAACGGGAGAGCAGTCCACAGCTGTTTCTCTGGCTGTTTTTCTCTCCCAGACGTGAAAGCAGCAGTGGCGGAGCGATGCCCTGCATTCTTGCCCACCTACACACATGCTTCCTCCGCATATCCCTGTGCCGCCTGCTTACCGCAAGCCCTAGAGGCTCGGCTGTAAATCCGCTAGCCAGACAGCTCCCTGACACCCCGGCTTCCGCCCTGCTTCTTCAGGACACGTGCCTGCTGCCGTTAGAATAGCATCACCCTTGTTACCAGCAAGGAAACCTCCTAGGAAGGGTAGTGAACACTGAGAATATCACAAGCCCCTCTTCCTCTTGAGTTGACTATTTGAGGTCTGCTATTGCGAGAAGCTCCCCCTTGCCTGTGCTCCCAGGCTGCCGTGATGAAGTTTGCTAGTCCTCATGTACCCACTCAGCCCCCCTCTGAAATCTTCACCTCTCGAGTGTCTTGGGCTCCATCTCCCAGCATTTTTTTTTTGTGCTCCCAGGCTGCCGTGATGAAGTTTGCTAGTCCTCATGTACCCACTCAGCCCCCCTCTGAAATCTTCACCTCTCGAGTGTCTTGGGCTCCATCTCCCAGCAGATTTTTTTTTTTTTTTTTTTTTAAGGCAGTGCAAATGGGGTTGGCCAAATACCACTTCGCCTTGAGAGCCTCCCAGCTATGCATGGGGTACTGGCAATACATACATGCACACACCCTGTGGCTTGTGTTTCCACTGCGGACTGTGCTATGCAAAGGAGCGCCTTGCAGCTGAGAGGAGTTTGATGCAGTCTAACTGCAATGGTAGATACCTCTGCATAAATTAATGGTGAATCAACCCACAGCTAAATGTTGGCTGTGAGCAGGGGGGAGGAAGGAAGCTGGGGTTGGGGGAGAGAAATCAGGAGACTTGCTGGTTTTTGCAGGTGTTTTTGTGTGCACTGTCACCAGTGGGTTTCCATGGCTCCATTTTCCAGCTGGGAAAAGCAAAAATGGACCTTCTGAGCTACTTCAAAATGTGTCCAGATCTCTGTGGGAGGCTGAAAATGTCCAGGTCTCCAGGAAAAGCAGCCAGGTGCTGTGTGCACTGCCAAAACGAGCCAAACTGTGAGACATTTGCATTTGCCCAGCCCCAGGCAAGAGGACTGGTAAGGACCTTGGGCAGTTGGTGGCCCCTTTTGAAGGTTTTATGGAAATGACCTTGCTAGACACCCCCTCCCATCAGTGCCTTGTGAGTGAGAAGAGAGCCCTGCTGCAAGCTCCTACTACTCATTACAATTATGTGGTGCTTCTTTTTTAAATTAATTATGTTTTTTTCAGGAGAAGTTATTCTTTTGGTGTGAATTGCGAGCTGGAGACTAACTGCCTTTTCTTGGCTGCGGTGCTGCTAGATGTGTTCGGCACTAAAAGCAGGAATCACAGGCTCAGTAGTTTGGGCTGTGGCAGACTTGTACTTAGGGTGTCCGAGGTACCGAGGGGTACTCTGCTGTGCAGACTTAAGGTAGTGTAAAACCAGGGGTCAGGTTCATCCTTGGAGGCAGAGGCAGCCCAGCAGCATCAATTCCAGAAGCTGCCTGTTGTACTTCACAAAACCCTTGGGATATGTGACCTGGGCACACAGCATTATCTGGGCACATGCCAGGTGAGGAGACTGGCCAAAACCAGGAGAGCAGGTCTGAGTCTCCGGGTGGGAGTTGTCCAGCCTTCCCCTGCTCCCAGTGCATTGGCCCTGGCACCCAGGCCTTGCTGGGAAAGACTCTTCTCCAGCTCCCATGGAGATGTAGGTAGAGCAGGATTGCATGAGAACAGCTGTTTTCACACGGCATTTCTTTTGCATGAGGTTTATTCTTTTTAGGCTGAAGTCTGTCAGGAAAGGCAAACTCTTCCAGGCTGTTGGGAGAGCACACGATGTATGGCTGCTCTTTCGTGAAGCCAGGCCTGCAGAGGTAACAGCTAGTCCCACCACGGGCATGGTAGAAGAAATACAACAAGCTTCTGGTGTGTCTCTAGGAGCAAGCATGAGGTCTCAGCAGTGTACCCACAGCACAGCCTGGTGCCTGCATGCACCTCCCCAGGCAGGCTGGTTATCCACACCAACGGGTGCAGATTGAAACTGAGTCCTGGAGCAAGAGAGCATGAACCCAAGCTCTTGCTCAAATGGTTTGTGCATGGAGAGGACTTGCCCTCTGTGCCTTTGGTTAAGGGTGGATGCTCAAAGCCTAGACCAGAGCCAGGCTAGCAGTGTGGACCGCAAGTTTGCACTGGCTCCTGTCTCTCCTTGCCCACTTTCTGGAGGTATTTGTTGCCTTGGGAGAGGCGGCTGCACAGGGGTAAGCACAGCCCTGACCTCAGCAGCAGAAGGGGATGATGCAGTCGCTCTGCAGCCATGCTACCTGGGCTGCATCATGTGTACACAAGCCTTGTTGCAATCCCCCCTCTCCCTTCCCCAGCAGAGCCTCGTTTGGACATTTCCAGACTCTTTCCCCAGTGATGTAGGCTACAAGATTTGGTCTTTACTCCAGGGCTCAGCCTAAGAGAAGAAAGGTGTTTTGTATTACTACTGCTCCACAGGCCAGGCAGAGGAAGCAGTGTCCAGCAGCAAGGGAGCCCTTAACTTCAGTTAATAAATACATCCTTCATTTCCAGCCTCTCTTCCTTGGTGAGTGCCACTTATTGTAATGAAAGCTGTTTGGACTTGGCCAGGGATCAGCCCTGCGAGTTTACAGGATTCACAATTCACAGATGTTAGGAACTATCAGGCTGAGTGTGGGTGGAGAATGTCAAGTCTGAAATAGCTCCCCTGCCACCCTGGCACAGGCAGCAAAGAAAATGTTTCCACATGACATTCTTCGAACCAAAATTTCCTACAAGGAAAACAGAGGGGAAAAATAAGAGGCAATTGCTGCTCTCTCAGAGGGCTCCTGGCTTTCGCTTGGGAAGTTGGCATTTGTGCTGACATCAGCACAAAAGATGCACTGTAGGTGAGCTATAGGGCAGCCCCCTCCCCTCTCTTCGTATACACAAACATATACGTCTGCTTGAAGACGCAATCCCACTGGTGCATAGATACATGGACGCTATTTTTTCCTGCTGGAATCCATTTTAATTTAGCTCCTGATTCATATTTCATTCATTCTCCAAAACCACAAAACCAGGCTGGGTTTACAGCCTGCACTATTTGGATGAGCCACGGAGGGGGAAAAACAGGGGAACAAACAAGGTTGCTTTCCTGAATGATTTTCTGTGTGAAT